CCAATGACTTGAGTGCTCCCCAATGGGGCAGTGCCTGGAGTGCAAGGTTTTTTATTTAAATTTGTGTCCCTGGGCAGAGACACCTTAGGTACATGTGCACAAAGCACAACATCAGCAACAAGCTCAACAGAAGGATCAAGAACTACAATGCATTTGGTGAAGGCAACACAGCCAAGGTCAGCTTCAGGTTCCCCAACTTTGAGACCTGTGAGCACTGGGCTGAGTTGATTCAGTTCCTCAGCCCCCCAGAGTTCCAGGACACAAAGCTCTGGGAGCAGCAACACCTGGTGGCAAAGTGCATGTGCACTCGCATGAACCAATGCAACATCACACACAACATCCTGGTCAAGGTACACACTCCATAAATTGCAACGTTATTGTGGTTGGCCATGAGCACTCCCCAATGGGGCAGCACCATGAGCCCAATATTTCATTCATTACACCTGTGCATTGTGTCTCATTTTGCAGATGCATGTGAAGGATGTTGTCATTCAGAAGGGAAACTCTCTGCCACCTAAGGAGAAGAGGTTGCTTACTTGGTCATTTGTGTGTTGAAGCCAGCAGGCGACTTCCAAGGGCAACAACTCTCCCATCTCAAGTTGGGCATCATCTATGAGCTGGGCAAGTCAGGATGGGCAATGATGGACATCAGTTTGGCGTGTTTGCACAATGGGTTCCACTTCTACAGCCATTATGTGCAGGCCACTCTGTTGTCCTATGAGTACCTGCAGCACAGGCAAAGGTATTGTGTGTGTTGGTGTTCATAGGATGATTTTTCTGACTCAGTGTTTATTCTTGTTACATAGGATGACTTTGTAATCATGGATGCCAAGACGAGAAAACAGCTGCTACAGTGTGATGATCACATGAACATTGTGGTGGCCAACATAATGTGTGTGATAATGTTTGCAAGTTCAGGCCCTTGGCTTGAAGTGGAGTTAGGAGAGAGTCAGGCGCCTTCTTCTTGGCTTAGGTTCAATATTAGTGAGGTGTGATACTATGTGCCTCTTGGGTGGAATGAGTGGAGTGTGGCTTGGCGTGTCAGCTTGCCCATTGACCATGTGCATTGTAAGCTGCACCTCTTCAATCATTGAATGACTTGGAGGATTGAGGACTGCTGGCCTACTGACCTGCAGAGTGGCATTGATGAGGACAATGAGAGCAGCAGTGACAACAAGGATGATGAGAGCAGCAGTGATGACAAGGACAATGACAACAAGAGCAACAATGACTTGAGCAGCAGCATCAACAATGAACAGAGCAGTAGTGATGCCAGCACCAGTGAGGATGATGCCTGGAAGAATGGCAGTGGTGATGACTACTTGATCTTGAGCAATCAGTATGCCATGACTTTATTTTTGTCTTATGTTCCTGTTTCTAATCATTGGGGTGGTGGCAGTGACGAGGACCAGGGTGGTGGCGGTGGTGGTGGTGATGAGGACCAGAGCAGCAGTGGTGGTGACAACAAAGACCAGAGTAGCAGCAATGATGAGGACCAGAGCAGTGACAATGAGGACAAGAGGATGGAGGAGTGAGAAAAGTCTAGTATCTCTGTACTGTAGATGCTCAACAATATGCTTTCAATACATATGCCCATTAACTCCAGTAACTGTGCATCATGTACTGTCATCAGTAAGTTCAGCGTGTTTCCCAGCTGACCTGCAGGTGGGTCAAAGGCAAGGCAAACAACAATCCACAACACCCATTTTCTCCATTTTCTTGGACCATCCATTTTTACAGTGAACAGAGGAAACTAGAAAACACAAGGGTGTGAATGGGGGTGGGCGAGATACCAGGCTTTGGGGGGCAGGCAACTGTGTGGGAAGTGTAGCAGCCTGTGGAGGGGCCTGGTTCACAGATGTGTAATAAACATCAGGTGTGCAGCAGGGAAGTGACATTCAGAATTGTCCTTACTGTTACAGCTGCCAGAGCGCCAGGGACAGCAGGAGACCATGGGGAAGGGAGAGCTTGGTGGACATGGGCTCCCTGCAGAAAGTAACAGAGTGGGAAAAAAGCACTGCCCACACACCCACACACCGCCCACATGCCTAACACCAATGCCAACACCAACCACCCACATGCTGACTGCCAACCACCCACACACCAACACGCCCAACCGCCCACATGCCAACCACCAACTGCCCACACACCAACATGCCCAACCTCCCACACACTGCCCACCAACCACCCACATGCCAACTGCCAACCGCCCACACACCAACATGCCCAACCACCCACACACTGCCCACACCAAATGCACATGCTGCACACATGCCAACTGCCCACATGCTGACTGCCCACACATGTATCACCAACCACCAACACCAACCGCCCACACACCCACATGACATGCCAACCACCCACACACCCAACACTGACACACCCACATGCCGACCGCCCACACACATATCACCAACCACCAACACTGACCACCCACACACCCACACACCCACCACTGACACACCCACCACTGACAATCCCACATGTCCAACCACCCACATGTCCAACCACCCACACGCCCACCACGCACACGCACACACGCCAACCATCCACACACCACCACCAACCGCCAACCACTGCCATGTGAACAGGTACATAAATACCTGAGGATGAGAGGCAAGGAAAGTGTAGGGTCACTCTCCACTTGTTCCAGGCAGCAATGGTGTGAATTGCCAAGATTAACAAGGATTGATTAA